CCAAACCATAAATGTAATTGGAAATGTCATGCTGAATCTAGTTCCTGATGTCTTGTTATATGACACTCTTAGTACCCGAACCTAAAGCTACCCACTAAAAAAAGTGTTTCCTGAATACCTCAGCACCGTGAAAGGACGCAAAAAAGTAGAGGTTGTGGTCTTTGACTTTGAGGACTGTATAGTCTAGTTGGAAAAATTTATCTGATGAAGGTGAAATTAATTAGTAAATTGACTAGTAAATATGATCAGAATGGAACAGATTCATGGAGAAGTGGGGATTGGAGCTGACCCCTAAGAGAGGAGTAAGATTTGGGTAGTGTCTTAGTCTGTTTGGGCTACTATAACAAAATGCCAAGGACCAGGTGGCTTATAAACAACAGAAATATATTTCTCACAGTTCTAGAGGTGGGGAAGTCCAAGATCAAGGTGCAGGCAGATTTGGTGTCTGGTGAGGGCCCACTTTCTGGTTCACAGAGGGCCAGCTTCTCGCTGTGTCCTCCAATGCTGGAAGGGGCGAGGGAGCTCCCTGGGGTCTCTCATAACAGCACTAATTGCCCTCATGACCTAATCACCTCCCCAAGGCCCCACCTCCTAATACCATCACCTTGGGTGTTAGAGTTTCAACATATGAATTTTGAGGGGACAAAAACATTCAGTCTATAGAAGACAGGAAAAGAATTGGGAGGGGCATTCTTAGTGAGGGACCCCGAATAACCAGAGGTAGGAATTTGCATAGCATTTTCTTGGGATAGTAAGGAGAGCCAGTTGGAAAGAGAAATGAGAAATAATCTTGACATTTCCATGTGGGCTCGACTGATGGAGCATCCATCAGTAAGGAAGCAATCATTTCACCCACGCTCCCGGTCTCGGCTACCTTTAGTTCTTACATCTGCGTTATTCTTCAGGATGCTCACAGTGCCTCTGTCAAAAAGCATCTCTCCACCTTACGATTCTCACCCCTCCTTAGGTATCTGTCCCCTTTCCACCCATATGGATGGGGTTAATTCCTAGGAGCTATCTTTGTGCAATGTGGTTCGATTCTAATGTCAGCCGACTGAAGCTGCAGGTGGCTCATCCTTGCTAGAACAGAGACACCATGCTAGGAACACAGAATCGAGACAAAAGGGGATGGACCCAGTCTATCTCGTTTCACAGAGCTGGAACTGTGATGTGTGACCCTGGGGCAGTCTTGTGTCTGCCACACAGAACAGGTGGCTGAGAAATCTGTTCTTCCCAGGAAGAGAGAGAGGCAGACACAGAGAGAAGCAGAGACGTGACGCAGAGCACCCGCAGCTCCCGGGGCTTCCTGCTCTCACTTCCATGCTTACCCAGCCATGTTCCTGTCTTGGATTCTGAGACGCCTGCATCTTTACCATCAGGCCCCTCTTTCTGCTTAAGCTTGGGTTAGTTCCTACTGCTGGAAACCCTAAGAGTCCTAATACAGCGACGAGTAGACAGGTTTACTGAAGTCCTGCTGTCCTTCACTTTGAAACATGCTCTTTCAACGCGTGCTCCAGGGACAAACCTTCCTTCACTTGCCTTTGCCGCCGTCAGGGTGAGCGTGTTGGTGCTCCACGCACCTGAGTGTCGCAGTCTCCACGACCCCACTCGGCCCCTCCCCCAGACCCTTCCCCGCTTCCCTAGATTCCTCTTCACTCTCTGTCCTGGAACGAAAAGCTAACAAAGAAACACAGGGAGGCTGGGAGTATAATGTAACTATGCCTGAGGCTTAGGAACAGACACTGGGCTCATTAGCCCAAACCTCCCAGGGATCTGAGAGAACATCTCTTCAGATCCTGTTGAGGTGCAGTTCCTCTGTGCAGCCCGACTTATTCTGGAGGCCATACAGGGGATAAGGCCACCCCTGTTTCAGGGACCCCGACACTCCAGTGCCAGCTGTGCCCTTCGCCCCCGTTCCCTGTGGCCTCGGCCACAGTGGGCTCTGTGGGATGTACACAAAGCCACCGCTGCAGAAATGACAGCTTCAAGAGATCACTACTCTGACCTGAAAGTCACAACCTGGGGTCTTCAGACAGAAGCCCCTTCCTGCGGACGGGATCATTCACAGAAAGTAGGTGGAGACGCCTGACCCCTAGGAAGCCTTGCAGGGACTCCTAAGGAGATAACCAGGCCCTAAACCAGCCAGCTGACAACTGTCAATACAGCTGCTGTTTTACCCAAGGGTTAAACTAAAAATAATCTGACACCTTACCACAGCATGCCTGCCCGGTTCTGCTGTGCAGATGCCAAAACACAGGCCGCTGCTGTACTTCCAGCAATTCAAGGTCTGAGGGCATCAGGAGGGATGCAGAGACTTGAGTGTGAGCATCGGCCAGGAAGGCACCCGCCCGGCGCTCGCTTAAGGGGCTAAGGCCTCGTCTTTCTGTACTAGCGACTTACTCGGTCTCTTGAGAGGAAGTGTGCAAAGGGAGTCGGGTGTGGTGTTGGCTTCTTTCCAACGATATCTGGTAATTATGCTTCTTAGGTATCTTATTTGCATCACTGATAGATCTTGTTCATATTTTTTGTAACCCTTACTAGACCAAGAGATCCTTAATGGCAAGAATCACATCTTCATCTTTATCCATCTCTCTATCTCTATGACCAAACAAGGCCTGGAAATTTAGAAAGCTCTCAGTAAAACATTTATTAGATGAAAGAGTAAATGAACAGCTGAAGAAATAGCAACAATCCCACCTTATGAGGAGGGTCTGGGAAGGCTTCTTAAAGGATGTAATGGTTGGCCTGAGTCTTCAAGGAGTCATCAGAGTTGGTAAAGCAGAAAGATGGAGAGAGGAGAGTGAATGTTTCAGGCATTTGAAATTCCCATCAAGGAAATTAAAAATGGTTCAATATGGCATGGGGTGAGAAGAGGAGGATGAAGCTGAAAAGAGGGGAAGGGCCAGAAGGACCTCATACACTGCTGCAGAGTTTGAATTTTGTTTTAGAGGTGATGGCAATCGTGAAAAGACTTTCAGTAGAAGAGGAACATAATGAGATTTTCTTATAGAAAGGTTTTTTGGCAGCAACGGATGGTAACTGACGGCAGGGATGGAGATGGGGTTTCAGAGATGAGCTAAGACGCCTTCAGTCAACGATTCAGGGGAGGGGTGATGAAGGTCTGACCTATGGCTGATAAGGCCTACGCCTGTCCTCCTGCTCCCACTGTCAGCTGTTCGTCACCAACACTGCCAGGTCCTCCCTCAGGAGCTGGGCCTGGGGGTGCTGAGCAGAAACAGAAAATGCCAACCACAGCAGTGCTTCACAAACACTTTTATCTTAGTTGGGTCCCCCCAAAAGGCAAAGTGGCATTTTCCAGAAGGTCCACAGGCAGAACCTCTCCCCCAAAACCAGAACTGAATGACTTGCTGATGCCACGTCTTTGGGCCACCTCACTTCTCTCAGCAGTTACTGTGCCCACCTGCCACCCTGTCCTTTTTCAGCAAGCAAATAAAAAAGAAGAGGCACAGGAGACGAGGAAGGTGGTCAGGGAGCAAGGGGGACGGCGGGGACCCTTCATTCACCTCAGTCGTGAATGGAAACGGGGACCTGAAGCTGTCGCAAGAAGGGCAGAAGCTCCAGACCAGGACTCAGATTTCACACAGGTGATGTAGGGTGGAGGGAAACACGTCCGCGGATATTCGCTCAGCTTATTCACAGACGAGGACCAGCTCTCCCTTCACTCTCTAGCACTCCTGATGGGAGTTAGAAGGAGCAAACCCTTCTCCTAGGACCTCGGTTCTCAACCTTGGCTAGGCAGCAGAATTAACTGATGATAAAAAAAATGCTGATGCCTGAATCATACATAAGAGATTCTAATTTAGTTGGTCTAGGATGTGGTCCTGGAATTGGTCCTTTTATAGAATTTCCTGGGTGATCTGAATGTACAGACAGGCTGAGAACCATTGCTCTAGACCCGGAGTCAGCAAAGTTTTTCTCTAGAAGGCCAGAGAGTAAAAGTTTTAGGCTTCGTGGGCACATGGTCATGTTGCAACTACTCTACTCCGCTGTTGTAGGGTGAGAGTACTACAGACAGTATGTAGATGAGCGTGTTCTAATAAAGCTTTATTTACAGAAACAGACAGTGGGCTGGACCTGGCTCATGAGCCGTGATCTACTGACCCTTGCTCTAGGAGCACTCTCCAGAGGACGGCCAGGGCAGTTGGGCTGCTGAAGTGGGTATGGACAAAATAGGAAAAATATTCTAGTCTAAAAGGCATTGGAAGAATGTTCTAATTTTATGTTAATACAATGAGATATGTTTCTAAGTTCCATTTCATAAAATGCTTGGCTCTTCTGGGAGAGTGAAGTTTTGATAGCTGAGAAAAATTTACTTTACCACCCTGCAGGAGCTGTCTGTTAATAATGACACTGTGAGGAGCAACTTTACACCTAAAATCTGCCAACAAAAGGTGTGATTTAAAGTCTTGGTTCAACTTAAGGCAAAGCTGTCAGGCTGGGTCTGGGGAGTGAGAGAAGAAGAAAGAAGCAGACTGACTTCCATCCTCCTCCATGCTGTGTGACTTCTTAGGGAGACCCTGTGTGGTTTTCATGTTTTGAAGAAAAAAATCCAATAAGGTATAAAGAAGAAAAAAATAATAACCTGCAATGGTGAATGGAAGGATTAGAGGTGAAAGACACTTCAACTTAGAACATAAATCAGGACAGAAAACATTAAAACTCAAATGAGAAAAGGCCCTTACAAGGTCAGAGAGGTCAACCGGTGGGCTGCGAGTTTATTCGTTCTCCAGTTTCCTAGAATTCAGCCACGAGCCTACGTTTCGTTGTGAATTCTACATGGAGAACCAGTTTTAATTTATACTATCACTTTATTCTGGAGAAATCCAGAGAAGGCAAAGACACTAGAAAACAGAGCTTTTGCCTAACCACCCAGTTTCTCTCCCACCGTCACTCTACGGAAGATTACTCGGACGACAGAGGCCGCACGCGCGCTCCCGCTGGTCAAGGGTGGGCGAGCGGCGTGGGCGTGCAGCCCTCACCTTTATCCTGTCGATGTTGGCCTCCATCTTCAGCTGCTCCACCAGCTTCCTGGCTTGTGCAATGCTGGCGGTGTTGTTGCTGGCCATCGGGGCGCTGGGTGGGTTGTTCAGACGCACTAGGAAGGAAGACAAGGAGTAAGTGGGCATCAGAGAACTCACGGGCTGCCAAGCGTGCAGGTTCATCATAACGGGGGCCTCAGAAGAGTGGCTGCAGTCAGCCACACACACCCTCCAGCCTTCCACACCCCGATCTAGGACCACGTCTCACTGGCAGGCAGACCAGGAGATGAGGTTTGCTTTTCTGCCTCCCCCACCCTCCGCCCTCCCATCCCTTCTTCAGGGAAAAGAATAATGTTTACCAAATCAGGTAGAAGATGTGCTGCCACATGAAGAAAGCAAGTTATTAAAGTCATCTTCATTTAGGAAACAAGTTCAAAATGGTAAGGGTGACAGAATTCGTGATTACTGTTGTTATTTATTGGGTGGTGCTGTTGTCAGCTACAGTGTTCAGCGTCCTCAGAGGGAAAGGGAGCAGATGGAGGGATGGTAGACTGCATGGTCCTTCAGGACCAACGACACCAGGTGGACAGTGTTCTCTCGAGGGGCTCAGATGCCAACTTTCTGGTCAACTGTAACCACCTAGGCCTATCATACTGCAGAGATGCTGCAAAGGGAGATGTGGCTTTTCAGTGTCATTTATTCAGCACTGGTTTAACAGTCATTTCCACTCTATTTGAAACGTGGCTTGATTTACAATTCTTCACTTTACTCACAGTTCTTTGGGAACACATCTGTAATGTCAAGGGAGAAGGACTGCCACGTCTAAATGGTTAATTACATCAGTGAGTTCACCAGTGGTGTTCCCAATTAAGCACAGCAGACTTATTACACTTATAAACATGGAAATGGAACACAAAGGTTTAGGGAGCGGAGCTCTGTACCTATGTGGACTGCGAGATGGTTTCTCTGCCCCTGGCTCTGCCAGACCTCCCCCCATGCATGCCCCACCCTCCTCAAGTCCTATCTCAGTCCATTTCTCTTCTCATTCTTTCCTGATCCACCCTCTCACTGTATTCTTGTTGTTCATCTTGGAAAGTATCCTATTTTATTTTTGGCCCATTTCCCCCACATTCTGATCAGGTCTCGCTCCACGTCAAGGTGCCATATGCTGTTTCAGGGCCCCCTGTGTAAATGTGCCCCTCAAGTCACTGACCCAAGAGTGAAGCAGCTTCTGAGAGCTGCAAGTTAACCAGAGTGCGTGACCCACGAAGCATTAACGCACTGCGTTAGTCAATACTAGTCGGATCTTGTTCTGAACACACTGCATTAAAAATTTCGACTTCTGCTAGCTTTGGGGAACATCTTTATCTAGGGGTAAAGTAGGATCAGGTCACCATCCCAAAAAGGCAAGAGACATAGAAAAACTGGGGAAGGAAGAATAACCCATAATAAGTTCAGTACATAGATTTTTACTTATCCAGTAAAATCAAGAAACAACTTTTATCTCAATTACAAAAAAAGCAAAAGTCTATAAATTATCTCCTTTGGTTCTTATTTCTTGATATCTAGCTCTTCAAGACAAAAGAAGAAATTATGTATAACTCTCTCTAAACAAAGAGGCCCCTTCACAGAGTGTTATTTTATAAAGAATACTGCAAAATAAGCCACCTCACCAGCATTTACAGTATAAATTGGAAGATAATTAACTCTTCCGTCAACTTGTTTTCAAAGGGTTTGGAGACAATAAATTGAGAAGAAAGACTGAAGGGATTTTTGAAGCCACAAAGATTCTGAACCCTATTTTCACTTGCTTGAAGATGAGGGAGGGATCTTGCGTGTGCAAACGAAAAATGAAAAGAGCTATGATTCACCAGCACGGTCGGGACCCCACCGTCTCAGCCCCAAATCAGACAAACATCTAACAGCCTGGCAAGACTTCTCAGGGCCCAGATGGGGTGCTAACTTACCCAACAGGGCAGCCTAGCAGCCTAACTTTGATTCATCCAAAGTTGGAGCAGCCACGATCTACAAGCGCCTGGACATTGTTCTGTGAAGCTAACGCTTCTTCCAAACCAGAACTTCCCCCACTAGAATAGAGATTATCAGAATTATCAAATCCTCATTGCTCCTGAGGGAGTGTCGGGAGTCTGGCCAGCTGTTCTGCCCTTGAATCTCAACCAGATCGCACGGTAACCTGTGGCAGAGACCACAGCTTGCCTCCAAATACCCCTTCTCCTCTTCTTCATTAGTAATAACAACGTTTTTCTTTGTTTTGTGTGTGTGTGTGTGTGAGGAGATCAGCCCTGTGCTAACATCTGCCAATCCTCCTCTTTTTTTGCTGAGGAAGACTGGCCCTGGGCTGACATCTGTGCCCATCTTCCTCCACTTTATATGGGACGCCGCCACAGCACGGCTTGCCAAGCAGTGCGTCAGTGCACACCCGGGATCCGAACAGGCGAACTCGGGGCCGCCACAACGGAGCGTGCTCACTTAACCGCTTGTGCCACCGGGCCAGCCCCAACAATGTTTTTCTCTTTAACAGAGACTCCAAGAACCTTGAATTTTAGCTGGGCATATTTTGCTGAAAGATACATTCCCCAGCCTCCCTGTCAGCTCAGTATAGTTATACGACTAAGTTTTGGCCAATGTGACATAAGCAGAGTGTCCTTGAAGGGAAGGGTGTGCCCTTTGCCTCCCCATCCTCCTGTCACTGGCTTAGAAGGCAGCGTGTTGACCACAGAGCTCCATCTTGAACATCCAGGCTACTCTCCAGGGGGAGCAGGAAGATCTGGGTCCTTACTGACACGTGGAGCCTCCACCCAGCTGTGAACTGGCTCCCATCTATGTGGAGAGAAATATGCACCTCTCTTGTTTACACCACCATTATTAAGGGTTTCTGTGCCATTGACCAACAGATCTGCCATTAACTGATTAGATGACCCACTGTTTTCCTCTGAGTGCCTAGGAAAGTCCATGTCCTAAAGCCTGTTCATGTTCCCTGGGAAAAGCTGTGGCCGTGCTGAGGAGACTGAAGTAGAAAGTGCATGCATTTTCCATTGCTGCTGTAAGACGTTAGCACAAATTCAGTAACAAACAATGGAAATCGATTATCCTCCAGTTCTGGAGGTCAGAAGTGGGCAGTGGGACTCATGGGGCTAAACTCAAGGTGTGGGCAGGGCCACATTCCTTCTGCAGGCTCCGTGGGAGAACGTTTCCTGCCCTCTTCTAGCTTCTAGAGGTGGCCTGCGTGCCTTGGCTCTTGGCTTTTTCCTTCATCTTCAAAGCCAACAAAGGTGAGTTGAGTCCTTCTCACGTCACGTCACTCTGCCCTTTTCTGGGGTTTCATCTCCCTCTGATTCTCCCCTGCCCGCTTCGTCCACTTTGAAGAACCTTGTGACCACACCGGGCCCAGATGATCCAGGATAACCTCCCTACCTTAAGGTCTGCTGATTAGCAACCTTAATTCCCCTTTGCCATGTAACGTAACATATTCACAGGTTCCAGGAATGGGGACATGGACATCTTTGGGGGCCTTTTCTACCCACCATGGAAGGAGACCTCTGTGCAGGCAGAGAAGGGAAGTGAGGAGGTGGGGAGTTGATGGGAGAAGTAGACGGATGGGGCAGGATGCAGGTCTAGAAATGTTGGGGAGAGAACACATTTGAAACCTAAATGGACTTGAGAGAAAAAGTAAACACGGGCTTTCATTTGTGCTCCTAGTTTTAGGAAGATACGTCCTGAATGTTCTTGTTTTACCATGTGACCCAACAGAGTCTAGTGCCACTTTTAGAATCACTTAGTACATTTTCCTCTTTTTCACATCTACCTGCTTTCCCATAAAATCAACCAAGAAAACCCCCTCCTAAAGACTGGAAGAATTGTTGAGTCCTGGACCAGTGTTCCAAAGAGGTATGTGTTTTCCTAAAAAGTGACCATGGAAAATAAGAAAAAGTTAGACTATCTTCTAAGTTTGAGGTTTTTGGACAATGCATTACACACACACACATCTTACAAAACTGAAACTCTGTAATCATCAAACAATAACTCCCATTCTTTCCTCCCCTAGCCCTGGAAATCACCATTGTACTTTTTGTCTCTACGACTTTGATTACTCTAGGGACCTAACAGAAGTGGAATCCTATAGTATTTGTCTTTACATGAGTGGCTTATTCTCTGAGCATAATGTCCTTAAGGTTCATCCATTTTGCAGCTTGGGCCAGGATTTCCTTCCTTTTTAAGGTTGAATAATATTCCATTGTATGTAAAGATCACACTTTGCTTATCCATTCATCTATCGATGGACACTAGGGTTGCTTTCCTGTTTTCGCTACTGTGAATAATGCTGCTGTGAACATGGTGTACAAATACCTCTTCAAGACTCTGCTTTCAATTCTTTTCGGTATATACCCAGGACTGGAATTGCTGGATCATATGGCTTTCTATTTTTAATTTTTTGAGGAACAGCAGTACTGTTTTCCACAGTGGCTGTACCATTTTACGTTCTCACCAAAAGTGCAGAAGGGTTCCAATTTCTCCTCATCCTCACCAACACTTATTATTTTCTGTTTTTTTGATAGTAGTTATCTTACTGGGTGTGAGGTGGCATCTCACTGTGGTTTTGATTTGCATTTCCCTGATGATTAGTGACACTGAACATCTTTTCATGTGCTTATTGGCCATAGCATATCTTCTTTGGAGAAACATCTATTCAAGTCCTTTGCCCATTTTTGAATCAGATTTTTTGTTGTTGAGTTTTACGAGTTCTCTATCTATTCTGGATGTTAATCCCTCATCAGATATATGGTTTGCAAATTTTCTCCCATTCTGTGGGATGCCTTTTCACTCTTTTGATAATGTGCTTTGATGCACAAAATTTATAAATTTTCATGAAGTCCTATTTGTCTATTTTTTCTTTTGTTGCCTGTGCCTTTGGTGACATATCCAAGAAATCATTGCCAAATCCAATGTCATGAAGCTTTTCCCCATGGTTTATTCTGAGAGTTTTAAAGTTTCAGCTGTTACATTTATGTCTTTGATCCATTTTGAGTTAATTTTTGTATACGGTAAAGGGTAAGAGTCGAATTTCATTCTTTTGCATGTGGATATCTAGTTTTCCCAACACCATTT